CTAAAAATACATCTGTGTAGCACGTGCCCAGACTCTCTTAAAATGTAAAGATGTCTTGAGAAAATTACTACATATATATATCAAAATGAACTAGTTCCTATGCAAGGAGCTCATCTGGTGAAACTGCAGTGTTTTTTTCATCAAGGGATTTCACAACACTGTAGCCACGGACACAGGTGTATAAATCCCAGATGAATCACAGTTCGTTATTATGCATCAATATCAATCTGTGAAATTAACCACAGGCCAAATAAATCACCCACGCACTGCCAATTCATGTATGGTACATAGACGCACACAAACCAGGTACAGCTTAAACTGATACGGGAGAAAATCTGCTCAAACTCAAGTTGCGTATATTTGCGACAGATGTGATATTTCAAGATGCTACTTTATCTTCTGTACTCAATATTCATATCCATTCTACCCTCGATTTTTGTCCTTCAAAGCTGGCAGTATACAAAGGCAACCTCAAAAGAGTCAAAATAGAAGATAATGCAGCAAATCAATTGAAACTGCAAAAATGAAGCAGTAAAATATATGCAGTTACAGGTGTTCCAGTGCTCAATTACGCTTTTTTATTTTTATTTTTTAAAGCATAGCCTATACTATTACTATACATTACAGTGACTCCTCCCTAACCACTACTATAAAGCAAAAATTAAGGTCTATATGAAACTATGGACAGGAAACGTAAAGCCAAAGTTATGAAATATAATCTTGCACAAAGCCAAGGGCAGAAAATTGTATTTTTTCATTGTGGTTTGTCAGAGCTGAGGCTTATTATTGCTCTGAATAATGAATACGATATATCCTTACCATGCTGTTGGTTTGACTAGTTAGAGAGGAAGACAGAAGTAAAACAGAGAAAACTGTGAAAGGGAGGGAGTGAAAACAGTATGCCACAGAAGAGGGAGGTAGTTTAGGTCAGAGTCCCAGGAGAGACTGATATTTTGTCTCCTCCATTAGCAATACAGTAAGTGTGAAAATCGATTTTTTTACTCCTAAAATCAAAGAATACCATTTGTGCACGGAATAACTTGTTTGTTTTTGGGTGCTTAGACTTCTTAATCAGTTATAAAGGAAAGCAGGTCTAGGCATTAAGTGTTTTTCTCTCAAAAGGTAATCATTTTCTATGCAGACTCAAATACGATAGACATAGGTTATGAACAATCCACGAGTTTCAGCCACAAAGGGCCGCTGTCAGGATGTTTATGTTGATAGGCATCTCCCACTTGTCACAACAATGCAGTATCTCCATCTCAATAACATTTTCTTAGTTCCTCCTTAACTTCTGCAAATGCAATGGCTAAAAATAATTAAAATACAACATCCCAGATTTGAAAACAGATTTATACTATGTAATGTGCATTTAATATTGTAGAGCAAACTAAAATTCTCATCTAAGAAAATCACATGCTGTATGTTCTGTACTGTACACTGAAGCTCAGATAATCCCAACAAGAAAATAGTCTACAGACAGACCAGAACAGAAACTCAATGTATTTGGTGAAATGAAGTCAACATTACTTCACAGTACTTCTGCTTTGACAAAGCCTACAGGTAATACAGTATGCTGACCTGCCTTTCAGCTGTTAACAGTTGATAACAGCAGACGTATTTACATCTTACACACAGTATGTTTTGTTTGGCTTTTACCTGCCAGTACTGTAGATGGTCACTATAGAGGGTGACCTGCTCAAAAGGGGCCCAACAGTCAGAAAATGCCACACCTGTGCTGAGCAGCGTATAGTAAACATTGCATTGTAGAAACACAGCAGGAACGCCGGCTGCTCATGTTATTGGGCTTCTTTCAGCTATGCCTCAAAGTACAGGACGGAGCACACTGGACAGAAGCTCCAATAATGCTGTAGCTCACAGGCCATTACTTTGTGAATTGTATTGTTCTGTGTACACCCTTTACAGGATAATGTGGCCACTTTAATTACCAACATACTGTTCCTACAGTCATTGCACTAACGGGTCTGTAGAAATTGCACTCCTTGTTGTACACTGGACTGAAGGCTGTAAGTTTTTTAATCTTTTCAGTCTCAGTAAACAACATCTGAGAGGAGATCCAATGTAGAATCTGAATTTTAAAGGGAATAATTAAAGATGATCCAATTACTTTGACTTATTTCAAATTGCATTCACTGAAACTATACAGCGAAGGCATTACTGGAAACATTAAAAGGATAATATTAGAAAACATTTCTCATACATTTTACTCTGTATACAGTAACGGCATGGAATAGGCTCCCGAGACATTATGAGGAACAGTGATTACTTTCTGAACTCTTCTGACATGTGAAAGTCACTTTGCATAATATATCAGAAGCTAATCTGTTCTGATGGTCAAAATGGCTTAATTTCAGTTTTATTAGGATCTGTCCTTATATTCCTTTTTCTTTTTTGGATGGCTCTCAATGAAGTAAAGGAATGTTTTAAATATGGATAAATCCAATAATTAAATAAATCTTACTCTCTCCATGACGACCTCATTTCAATCAATAACAGCAGCACTAATCTCAAATGATATGACATACTGTATGGCACTGTTGTTGATTTCAATATATAGGTCTAACATTCACGTTCATCTTGGGCTTTACTTGCAGCATAAAATAAATTAATTGTAATTTAATGTGATGAAAGGGTTACTGTATATCATTGGGCCTGAATTTCACAAATAATCTGTCTGGACAGCTCATCTAACCTTGCGCTTTCACTGTAAACAAGTTCCCTTTTCTCACAGAAGGAGTCAATAGACAAGGCTTGAACAAAAAAAGTACTAAACCTCTCTGTTGTGACAATGAGAAAAATTCGACACCACGGAAAAGTCAGAAAACGCATTAAGGAGAAATAAGTCAAAACTGACAGAAAATCAAACATTTCTGAAATTCTATCTCCACACGTCCTTTTTTTGTATTCATACAGTACCTACGTTGTTGTGTCCTGTTGAATGTTTATAGTGCTTTTTTGGCTGTGATTATGTTTGTATATTAAGTAGTATCCCGTGGGACTCTTGAGACGTTCGCTGAGGGCTCCCCTATCTCAGTAAGCAAGCCGTCTCATGCGGGTTTGAACATAAGGGTGTAATCATCACTAGAGACAGGTGCCAACATCCTGTCTCTAATGCTCTGTCGACAAGTTAGCGATAGCAAGTGGACACCAACTCCACGCAATAAAAAGCAGTAATTCAGTTATAGTAATTACTATAGCTCCTGCAGCAAAGGTTGACATATATAATAATAATAATTGCTTACACTTATGTAGCGCTTTTCTGGACACTCCACTCAAAGTGCTTTACAGGTAATGGGGACTCCCCTCCACCACCAATGTGCAGCATCCACCTGGATGATGCGATGGCAGCCATAGTGCGCCAGAACGCTCCCCACACATCAGTTCTCAGTGGGGAGGAGAGCAGAGTGATGTAGCCAACTTAAGATGGGGATTATTAGGAGGCCATGATTGGTAAGGGCCAAGGGGAAATTTGGCCAGGACGTCGGGGTTACACCCCTACCCCTATATAGATTAATGTATGAGGAGATGCTGTATTTAACACGTTATTTCATACATACTGTATCTTCCAGGGATACTAACTGCATCTCAGACCCAGGCTGCTGGAAATCAATCAGATGAAAGAAGAGAAACAACTCAGATGGTTAACTGTACGGTTTGCTTTATGCGCCAATAAAACCGAATTCATTGAAACAGTCTTCACCTGTTACAAACATATACAGTATCAACAGAGCGGACTTTGATCCTGCATGCAGTCGTACAATACAAAACATCGCCAGGTAGAGAGAACAGGCAAGTTTTTAAAAGGAAACCCCAGCACTAAAATGATCCCGATTTGACGTACTTATCGAATTCACACAGTACAGACACTTCCTAATGGATATGGAGGGATGCCAATATACAATACATTATAACTAACAAACGTAATGTTTCACTTTTAAATACGGATTTAATATTAAGCCAATCCGGTTTCATTGTTGCAAATCTTCGTTGCACCGTGAACAAATCACAGAAAAAAATAGGTGTAAGACGATTACGTGAGTTTGCAGTAGCCAACAGTACAGTATTTCACACCCGGCGCAGTGTGATAGCTGCTGTGAAGATTCTAGAATCTCCTCTGGCATCCCTCGTCTTATGCATAACGCAAATATCACGCTTTTTAACACCGTAATGTGGGTTGTTTTAACAGCTTCGTGAATAATTCGCAACGGAAACAAAATCACGACACAGATGATTTCTCTCTTCCTTCTAAAAAAAAAATAATAATTCCCCCCCCCTGCCAGTTCGTGTATAACGAAACGTCACGAAGGCACAAAATTGTTCGGGTGAACAGGGTAGAGGCTGAGCGCAGCCCCGGCACCCCTGCTGCTCGGGAAAAAGAAATGTAGCAAAGCTGGACAGTCACTCATCCCAGCTCATCGTGTAGCTGCTGTACACGAAACACATCACCATCCCTCCAGGTCTCTTCACCTGTACCCACACCTGCCTGACCCACGAGTCCCTTTGAATGGGTATTTTATTTTGTAGGGGGACCAAGGTACAGCGAACCAGGAAAGCAATTTGGTGTAGGATGACATGCCCGATACGACTAGCTCCTACACCTGACGGCCACAACCAGTTGTTGAGAGTTACTGTAGGTGTGCTTATGACGGCGTTCATGCGGCGTCTTCTCGTGGCGGAAAAATGCTCCAATTCCAAATATTTAAAATTAAAAACGCGTGAAAGACGCCTAATAAGAAAAAAAAAACATGAAATGTAACCGGAATGATAAATTACTTCCATATCTGTTGTACATGTGTTCACTTGGTACTGTATAGGCAGATAATTTGCACAAACGGTTCAAATGCATTTTAGAAACGTAAATATATTTGAAATTTGAAGCATTAAATGTCGATATTAAAACATCATGTCTAACCAATGTTTCATCCCTGAGTCATTCAAATTCACGGTATGCCCACAACATAAAACTATACACATTTTACCTGCAGAACAGACGTCCTGTGTACTGTATGTTTGGAGAGATGTACCCAGTAACTGTCTTCAACCAAAGAGACAGCTGTATCCAAATAACTTCAATGCATTTTTCTTTCAGAAACACAAAGTTCTATTGGAAGCATCAGTTTGTCCCACGTCTGGCCATCAAACCGAGAAACACAGATAAAGAAAATACAGCCACCTTCGCTTGCTGTCTCAGCCGACCTCAGCGCCGGGGTTATCGCCGATAACGAAGACCACCGCTTGGATCAGTCATTGCCTTTTCGCAGGACAGCTGCCGGCTGGAGGGACTGGACGTGATTCATCAGCACATTGATTGTTCCCGCACCCTCAGCTCTCGACTCCAGCTGTCCAAAAATAAGAGAAGGAAAACACGGAGAACCCAATTTTTAAAACCAAAAAAAAAAAACCCCAAATGAGGCGAGCAATCCCTGCGACGAGCCGGAGAGCTGGGCTTGTCTCCTGGTAGCCGGGGCTGCGTTTGCAACAGTGGCGGAATGAGAAAGATAGCGGGCCAGCAAGCACTCACACCCGAAAGCCAGGGCAGTACAGCTGTTCTGGGAGGCAATAGCAGGAAATACCAGAGAACTTCAGAGGAGAGCGCACAACACTGTGGAGCGGAGAAGCGCTGCAAACGTGGAGCGGAGCACGGAACTGGCTTGATTTATTAATAAGCCACGCTCGGCTGGAGGGCGTAATGCAAAGCGCCGTGCACGCCGGAGAAAACCTCCTTCTTTTCCAGAACTCTAACATTACGTTTCAAAAGGTAGGGAGAAAAAAGGAAGTGTATATATAGTATATTGCATGCGAATGCAACAAACAGTACCATCCAGAGACAGTCTATCGCGTCCCTTTTTTTAACTGAGGGATTTGTTTGGATCAGCGCTTCTTACAACCGGTTTGTCAGCGCTGCATTACGAGGAGCAAAAAAAAAAAAGTTTTCACACTGTTTTGAAAGTAAGGTGAACTATTTGTGCAGTGAAATGGCGACGCAAACCTTCCTGTTTATGAACTTCGTGAAAAACAAAAACGATTTGCCAACGTAAAGACATGACCTAACAATACAATAAAAACACGCGTTTGCGGTGTTGGATATCTAATTTTTACAAACGTTTGACATTTATGACCTAATAAATAATTCCTTTGTAAAATTAACCTTTAAATGAGTTTAGGTTAAGCCTCCAATTTATTTTTATCTCCATCATTTACAGTCTCCCGTTTCTATGGTAACAGCAAGCTAGGGGGCCAAGCAGAGATTCCTTACTATCAGCGGTGTGGGTCACAGGATCGCAACTCTGACCTTCTAGAGCCTGAGTGAACACGGTCTTGTACGGAGGACCAAGAACGATTCTGTTTTAAAATGTATACTGTATCTGCAAAACAGCATTTTAAAAGTAGCATGAGATATTTCCTCTGGTTGTGTGTGGCTCTGTATTACAATAAATATACTGTATGTTTTGCAAAAGTACCAGCTTCAGCGTTTAGTAATGAGATGTTTAACAGTCTTTTAGAAGTTCTCAAAATTGCATTGAGCATTACTTTTTTCATATTTCCTTGCGGTGTGTTGTGATCCTGCCATTGAACACAGTTTTTTTCCCCGGACAAGTAGTTCCACAGACATTGTGTGGCACTATAAAAGGACTGTGCCAATGTGTTGATAGAGTAAGAAGATCAGAATCAGCAGTTCAGATTATTTTATTCCTTAAAATAATCTGGAGTTGGACCATTCTGTGCCTTATGTGTGAGTAGAAGAACGTTAAAGTTCTTCCTATATTTCACCCGGATGGAAGTTTTGTTGAAGCAGAGTACGTCTTAGTGCTTGTAGCCTATTAAATACCTTAGGAGATGGCATTCTAAGTAAAGTGATAACAATCTAATCTTCATTAAATAAAGGCATGCGTCAATAATTTGGCATCACATAAATAAACAAAAATCTTAACCGCGCAAAGTTATGCAAGCGAAAGAAAGTTGGTCTTGTGACATTCCTAACATGTGCTTCAAATTCCAGCAGATGGTCAAATGTAACACCAAGCAAGGATTTTAACTTCAAGGGTCTATTAACAATGCCATCCACAGCAACACCAAATTCACCAAATTTGGAAAGCTAATATTGGGAGCTTCCGAGCTTTTGAGCTTCACTCTTACCATAGTTTAGGTTAGGTGCTGTTAAGTGTTGTATCCGTATAATACAATCAGATACCCATAAAGTTCAGAATCGGCAGTACAGCAGAGAAATCCAGATCCATGATGGCAAATAATCTGATCAAGAGGCAACATGTGAAAACTATTAGTGTTGGATCCAGCAGAGAATACTGTGAAACACTCTGATTAGTGTACTGTAAGTGTAAAACCATCAGATTTAAAACACTGAAGGTTTACTGTACAAACTGGCTCCTGGTAGACAGTCAGAAGACACATCAACAAAGCAAAGCATCAGTCGTCACCAAATCATTTCCCATGCAGTTCAGCAGGATGACGTCATTGACAGTTTAAAATCCATACTTAGGAGAGCATCCAGAGAAGTGGATGACTTCAGAGTCACTGAAGTCAGAAGCTATCAGAAAATTAAATATTTTAAAAGGGACTTTTTCAGTGCTGTGTTGCTAAACCCTGACTGAAAAGGTATGAACATCTCATGAAATACAAAGATATAGGAAGTGACTTTTATTACAATACGTACAGTATGCAGTATATCAGGATTTTACCCATAAATTAATAATCAAGATTGAAATTTGATTCATATTTACTGTACTGTTCTGCCTATATTTATAGGAAACAGGCAAGCTTTCAGAGACAGAGGTATTACACTGCCCTCTACTGTATGGCTGCTGTTAGATTCTGCTCTCTAGTACCATTTTTTAAAATTAAGTGACAGTCCCAGCAATTCAGCTGCTGAATACGAGTGAATGTTTTCATGTCCAGTGTCTCCCTGATTTTGATGTTCTTAAAAGCTCACAATGGTACACTATTTTGTAGGAGTCATGCTTCAGTTATGTGGAAACATAACTTTACCATTCGTAGTAACAAAGTGTATAGTAATTTGTGCATTACACATTTTGTGTTTTGTACACAGCTCATGTGAGCACAAGGAATCCTTTTTTGGTTTTGTCCAGGACAGGGTTTGCATTATTAACCAGATTTTCAAGCACAAACAGGATCTGTAAATGGTTTCAGGGCTGAATAACAGATAATGATGGGGAAGTACTGTAAGTTAGTGGCAGCCAATTTTAAGAGCAGGAGCTCAATCTGGAGCATCAGGTCATGGTAGAATTCAAATTCTCTGTGCAACACTCTCTAGAAGAGCCGTAAATATCTTTACATAAGTTGTTTTGGTTCTGGAACACTTAGGCTCAAGGTTCCATGTTTGCACTATTAAAATGTATTTGTGACAAACGGCTGTTGTTAAATTCATGTGTGTATTGGTCGGTTCTACGGTATGCCCCAGAAACCCTCACCAGATAAACTAGACTAAGTGCTATACTATGACTGCCAGTCAAATCGAGATAAGCCCCATTTAAGCCAGAGGTGAGTTAGGGTCTATTAACACAAAATGTTTAAAATAGACAGGAAATAAGAATGACACTGTGTATCCACAACAAGTAAGGCAAATACAAACAATAACCAATACACAAATGACATTAACAATACCTGTTTACAATAACAATGGCGATGAATATGCAAATAAAATATCTAGTGTTTTATATATCCTGTATGAAGATAAAGATGAAACAGGTAAGTGAAAAATGAATCAGAGTTTATAAGAGACCTGATTAGACCACGGTGCTAAACAGGCAATTTATGCAAAATGAACTCTGTACATAGTAACAGATGATGTGGAAATATTCATATGTCTAACAATATTGCATTTTTACCTCTATATCTCTATATCTATTTTTAAAGTATTTTTGAAAACTAATGCTTTAAAAAATTAGAAATGTCATGCATGAAAAAGACAACCCAGTTTGAAATGCAGTTTCTGTTAGTCAGCTAAATAAGTATGAATGGAGAATTCCCATTTTGTAGAAAATAAAAGCAGAGACTTCCACCTTCTTCTTGTGCAGACTACTATTTCTTTAACATTCTCAGCAGAAATGCAACTTGAAGACTCAAGACAATGTTATTAAAGTGTTCAGTTTCCTTGAGAATAAGTCCCCTGCCTGGAGGAAGAGAGTGAGAATCGCAACTCTCTATCAGAGACATATCACATCAATATATGCATTATACCTGCGATCTTCAGGAGTGACTGAAAACTAAGAACATTGTTTCAGCCTGAATATTTTCCATTTGGCTTGTCTTGGTGTGGTGTGTAGTAAATAATCACAACTACCCGAACTTCTGTACTGTGACTGAGTGCCAAGCCATCCTCCAGCTGGAAAACTGACCCCAGCCTATCCCAAAAGAGTCACATAGCTAGTTGACTGTAATCAGTGCTTGCCAGTAACAGCAGGGAGTCATACAATTTAAATCATAATTACTTTACCCTCTATTTTTAATTGCAATGATATACCTTCCAATCAAAAAATGTGCTCAGCTTCACCATTTTTAGCCAGACAATTGGGATAATTGTCTTCCATTATTATCCTATGTGAGAAAAACATTGACAGTGACAGTTTCTTTTTCCCCTATACAAGCAACTATCCAAACTGAAAAGCAAAACAGGAAACATGAAAGGCAAATTGTCGAACTCTGGTGTCTTTACTTTGAGGGACTGGCCACTACTGTAGCTTATCCTTTAAGCCCAGTGTTGCAATAGACTTACCTGTACACACAAGGCCCCATTAATATGGCACACTGATCACAAATGAGACATTATGGCTGGGTTCAGTGGTTGCAGAAAGTAAGCAGGTCACCACTGGAGTTGTGTCTAAAAAAAGGTGATGATTTCACTTTAAATTTTCATAACCTGAAGTGTTGGGTTCTCCTTTTTCAGAAATAGGGTGTCACACATCTTGTATACATTTTATGAATATTGCCCTTAAACTTTAAGACAACATACATACAGATCAAATGCAATGTCTTCTCCAGATAGCTCATGGCTTTTCAGAGAAGACATTGATATAGTAAAATAGAAAAGAGGAAACTCCAGCCATGTCCTTATCAGTCAATTTGCCCTGTGCTTTCATTGGACATTAAACTACTGATCAAGCTACTACTGTATGTAAAATATATTTTAATAAATTAATAACACAGGAACTGTTAGGGACTCTTTGTATAATACTCATGTTAACTCATATATAACATATTTTTAAAAATCTACAAAAGGCCACAGTTAAACAATGCCTAGTTCAAACTGCTTTTGTATAAAATACATGTCAGAAACATCCCCATACAATATTTTAGCATGTACACACACCGAAGTCACAAATGCTACAATAGATGACCTCCCTCCATCCAGCTATGGAATTATAACATCCCCACTTGCCACATACAACCTATTCTTGGTTAATTCTTCACTTTCAGCACTGTCTGAAAAGATTTATGTGCTTGAACTCAACACATGCATCAATTTTTAATGGCTGCATAACTTATGGAACCTCTTAGTGGAATTCATCTGTCAT